TGTAAAGCAGCGGTCCCCAACCCCCGGGCCTCGGACCGGTCCGTGAGTCGTTTGGTACCGGGCCGCGAGAGTTGAGGCTCAGGTGTGAAATGTCTGGTTTTCAGGGTTTTTATCGGTTTTCAGCGTTATTTTGTTATAGTTTTTATCGTTTACTCGGTTTTCCTGGGTCTTTTCACGTGTGTTATGAATAAATCTTTTTTTTTTCGGTACCGGTACTAGTTTTATTTTGTTGTATTTATCCGCGACACCTTAAAGGCCGGTCCCTGAAAATATTGTCGGGCATAAACCGGTCCATGGCGCAAAAAAGGTTGGAGACCGCTGGTGTAAAGAACACAGGACCTGCAAGTACAGGCAGAGCTTTAGGCAGCTATATGTGGCTCAAGACTTTTGCAAGGAAATTTAAAGGATAAATATTTGTTTGTAACAGTAAAAATGTAGTTTATGCTCATAATTCAAACTGAAGTGTGAACTAGTAATAAACTAACAAACAATGAGCTCAATGAAAAATGATGTTTTAGCAGCCTCACACACAACCTCCACATCTGGATCTCTGAGGAATATTTTATTCTTTATTACATTTTCTTTTAAATTGTGTAAATTTATTAGATTAAAATGAAATTGAATGGGAATAGTTTTAGTGATCTGCAGTGCAAAATGTCTGAATATAAAACTGACTGTAAAAAAACCTTTTTACATTTTAACAGGTGAAAATATTTAAAATGAATGAAAGTTGTCATAGAATGTGAAATTAAATTCAGTTTCATTTATAAACATCCAAATTACAGCAACAATAACCTCAAGAGGCTTTATTTTTAACCCTAAGGGGAAAGGTAACGACCCGAGTCAAAGCTTTTGTGAAGAAAGCGCTCTTGATGCCGAGTAAAAGGATGTGTTTGTAGTCGAAAGGAGGAGGGAGGACTCCCGACAGCTGCATCTATAGCTTCGGCCTCTTGATGAAACCTGTCATACAAATCCCTCTGTGACCTCAGAATTGTCATTAATGCCTCTAACAAACATCAGGAGCTGAGCTGTGTCTTAATGTATGATGTCTTGATGTTGGAATCATAAATATGTGAGCGTGGACAGAATAAATTTGCCTTGGTAAAGGTTAGAAGTGTTTGGAGTGCATCATCTAGTGACATCTACCTGGTATTGCAGGAAAATGCAGCCAAACACAGGAAAAAGTCAAACATAATAATAAAGACGTGAGAAAGTTGATTAAAAGACATATCAATAATTTAAAGTTATTGATAATAAATATTTAACTTTTTAGGGAAATTTTGTAGTTTTGTAAATGTTTGATAGGCTGGATTAAACAGCCTAACTGGCCATCGTTTGTCCACAAATGCCATAAAGTTAAAGGTCAAACTTTGAACATATTGTGTCTAACTTTTCATAGTCCTTACTTTAGTTTGTTTAAAGTTTTACTGCAATGTTCCCTGTTAATTCCTATTCATTTTACCCTAACGACAGGACAAATAATACATTTCACCTTTAGATAGTATCTTCAAATTTATGTCACTATTAATAGATTTTATTGTAAAATTTTTTATTATCATTTTTGCCTGTTGCTCCATCTTTTACTCTTCTACTGGATATAAACGCCAATACAGTACATCGTGTCACTCAATGAAATCAGTGTAATGTCTGTGCTTGTCTGTGCAGGGGAGAGTTACGGTGTGGAAGTGTCTTGGATGGATTCAACGACAGATGAAGCTGATTTATGGCAGAGGATGTTACGCTCTGATGGTGAATGGGTGGAGGATGTTTTACCTCTGAGAATGCTGATGATGCCAAAGAGCATTTCAAAGTGACACTGTATCAAATGTATTGATTAATGTGTAGAAATTACACAGCACAGTACAGGGAGTGCAGAATTATTAGGCAAATGAGTATTTTGTCCACATCATCCTCTTCATGCATGTTGTCTTACTCCAAGCTGTATAGGCTCGAAA